AAAAATAAAAATTCAGCATAACAGTGCCCAGGACAACACCCAGCGCTACCTGGGGCACACTTTCCAGAATCATCTATTCCCCAGCGCTAGGCCTAGCATGGAGCGCTGGGCTGAGGCAGGTAAATATATTTTTTTATTTCCATTTTGTTTTGTTTTTTTATTATTTTAATGCCCATACCCATAAAACTCGACCCATATACCCAAGTATCTTAATAATATAACTCATACCCATCCCCACCACAAATTAAAATATAACTCAAAATTTCCTAACACCCAAATACCCTATCTCTCTTTCTCTCCATCTCTCTCTTCCCGTGAATCCCCCCTTCCCAAATTTTACAAGTCTTTCTCTTTCTTTCATCTTCAATCATCAAGGTATGTTCTCTTATCTCTATTATTTTTTATTTTGTAAGTAAGTTCCCCATTCCCCTTCCTAAATGCCCCAAACCCTAAATTCCCAATTAGTGATTCTTTAGAAATATTTTCTATAGTGGGTGGCCTATTGTGCAATGAAATTGGTTGACAAACTAGATTTCCCTCTACTTTACTGAAATTTGGGAGGGCCACATTGTTCCACCATTCTTGAACTAAGTTGCACATACTTCAAGCTCACAATTTGTTTGATAAAATGTTTGGATGAGTACTTTGTGCACCGATGAGGTATGAGTGACCGAGTGTAGTTGTATGCGATATCAGACTAAGTGTGGGGTGTTTGGGGGTGGTTTTACACAGTTCAGAGCTTGGTTTTAATGTGCACATGTCGCCCACATCATGTATCTTGTACTATGTATGTTGTAGCACTTTGTTAGTATTAGCTAGTGTAGTGTATTAGTTGTAGAGATTAAGTACCATGTGCAATTTGCTTGCATTAAGGATCAATCACTTTGCCATGATCGACCACTTGATTTGTGTGACATAGTTAGTGAATGATAATTGTGTAGCATGGGGAAGTCTTGAGTACCCATTGTCTTATGGTGCAACACTTGTGCGTTCTAAGCCACAATTGTGAGTATAGTACATTGAGCCTTCGGTTTTAAGTGGGGGTCATCTTTGACTCTCACGATAACCTTAGGTGGATTTCTTGATTCCTTCTCACATTCATGATTATTTGGTGTTGTAGGTTTCTATGGATCGTGATAGTGCAAACAAGGGCAAGGGAGTAGGAAATTCCTCAACCACTGATCCCGCTCCCAAAAAGTGCAATCAAGGGGAAGGATCATCTAGGCAAGCGAAAGGGAAACAAGTTGTCGACGGATCGACGAGGGAACCATTGGGACCAAGGCCTCATTTGAATCTAGTTCTTGATGATGCTATCCAATCATAATACCTTTGTGTTGTATGGACAATACGCCTCTAAGATGGATATTAATGTGAAAGCTTTGGAAAAGAACTACCCAGACGTGCTTGCTTGGTTGCGAGAAATGAGGATGGATAAGTTCCTCGAGTGCCCCGGCCATGCAAATTTGAGCATGGTGCGAGAACTGTATGCCAATTGGAATGCAAACTTGTTCACGTCATGGGTCCATGGAAAGGAAGTTCCAATGGATAAGCGATCCTTATGTAAATTTTTTGGAGTTGAGAACTTTAACTCGCGGAGGATACAAAAATTTGTCAAAATCCCAAGCTACACGGCGATACATCACACTCTTTGAGACATCGATTCAAATGCCAAGTGGACCGGAACTAAGGGCGATGCCCATCTTGAGATGATCCACTTCGATTTCAACAAGACCGCCAAGGTGTGGAAAAATTTCATGCTGGCCCGATTCATGCCAGTTGAACACAACAGTAAATGCACTCGAGTTCAAGTACGTGTGATATTTTTTATGATGACTGGGTGACCCATCAATGTGGGTGAGATCATGTTAGAGGAGATGGACCCCATATGATTTGGGCAGAAGATCAAGAGATTCTTCTTTGGAAACATGCTCACGTAGCACATGCTTTCCCGGGAGGTGCCTGAATACCCCTGTTATGACGAGGTTGTGGAGGCTCCTAAGGGGTTGATGGACATCACATCTTTGTTGGAGGCTACGTCTAAGAATTTCCAGGCAGCATAGAATGAGAGGGACGAGAACTTCAACAGGTATCTCTATTACTCCTTAAATGTGATGATGAGCAGAATGGGTGTATCGAATGAGGAGTGTATGGATCTGCGCAATGATTTCTCTATTTATTCCAAGGAGATGTTTGGGATTGCACCTGGCAGTCCCGTTTACCCGTTAGAGGATAAGAACACTCACAAAGGCTCTGATACTAAGGATGAGATTCGTGATGAAGTCAAGGGGCCCATGGCTTTCGTGCCCTTATGAGCTCATGATGATGATGAGTCCGGAGCTACGGCTGGCGGGCATTCTGAGGAGGAGGAATCCGATTAGCAAGGAGTTTTTTTTACCCTACTTTGCTTTACAGTTTTACATGCATCGGGGACTATGCATATGCTAAGTGTGGGGTGAGGGAACTACTTCTTAGGTTTTACTTAGTCGAGTGAGTTTTAGAAAAAAAAATTAATTACATACAAAAATAGAAAAAATTAGAAAAAGCTCAGACTTTTCCCGACAATGGATCTTTTGGACAATTATTTTGAGGGATTAAATTCCGATTAAAAATACCAAAAAGATTTTTTTTAGGATAGTTAGGTACGATCTCTTGGTTATTCTTTGGCGGCCGGTTCATTTCCAAGGGTGTAGCTCGAACCAGGTACTTTGTTTTTTTAGTAGCAGGAATTAGGGAGAATACTACGAGAGCAATTGTTCGATTAATTAGCAATCATGAGTGAAATCTATAATAGATAGAGTTAATTAGAACACAATAGAATTGGTAAATCGATCACAACTATAGAATATTTGTCTCTACCGAATGCACAACAACCAACTTGCTGCTTGATAAATTAGTTACTTGTTAGAATTATTTCTTAGTATAATCACACTCTTAAACTCTGATTGACTTGATAGAATAATAATATTGGTGAAACTAGTGGGTATTTAACACAAGTCTTTGTGGGTTCGACACTCGACTTATCACTTTATTACTTGTACGAACATATATACTTGCGTGTGCATTTGGGAGCAACAAGTTTTTGGCCCCGATCCTCCCGGGAACTTTATATATCTAATCTACATACCCTACACCATTCTACTATAATTGCTATGCCTATAAAGAAAAGAAAACTCTAATCTACTTGTACTACAAAAAATTAAAAAGCTATGCTACGAAAGCAATAATTATTGGGTTGCCTCCCAACAAGCGCCTGATTTAATGTCATGGAACGACACAGGGCCTCGCTTACTCATCAGCGAGTACTACTTTGGCCTTCTCATGATTAATGATTCCTCCCCAATAGTGATTGACACTTTGCTCAATCACTAAAAAATTTCTTTCACCATGTACAGCGCGCAGTTCAATTGCACCATAAAGAGTGACTCAAAACACCTCAAATGGGCATGACCACCTCAATTTCAACTTCCCAAGAAATAGCTTGATCCTAGAATGGAACAATAGTACATGTTGGACTGGTTCGAAGTGACGTGGCTTGATATGCTTGTCATGCCATACTTTTGTTTTCTCTTTTTAAAGCTTAGCATTTTCATAAGAGTGCAGCCTAAACTCGTCTAACTCATTCAACTATAAGAGCATCTTCTCACCCGCAGTTTCAAAGTCAATATTCAACTTTTTAATTGCCAGTATTCCTTGTGTTCAAGTTCAACAGGCAAGTGACATGCCTTCTTATAAACATGCTTATACGGTGACTCCCCAATTGGTGTTTTGTATGCAATTCTATATGCCCATAAGGCATCATCTAACTTTGCAACCCAATCCTTCATATTCACGCTCACTGTCTTCTCTAATATTTGCTTTATTTCTCTGTTGGACACTTCAACTTGTCCACTTGTTTGCGGATGATATTTTGTAGCAACTCTGTGGCGGATCCCATATTTAGCTAGAAGGTTATTCAAAAATCGATTACAAAAATGTGCCACTTCATCACTAATCAAGGCGCGTGAAGTCCCAAACCTCGAGAATATGTTCTTTTTCACAAAAGCAGCTACCACTTTGGCATCATTTGTTGTCAATGTGATTGTCTCTACCCATTTTGACATGTAGTCAACTGCTAGCAAGATATATTTGTTTCTTCTGTACAATGGGAACGGTCCCATACAGTTTATCTCCCACACATCAAAAATCTCTACCTCCAGGATGTTATTTAAAGGCATCCCATGCCGCTTTGTGATTGTCCCTGTTCTTTGACAGTGGTCACACTTCTTAACAAATGTATGGCCATTCTTGAACAATGTTGGCCAAAACATCCCCGATTGTAACACCTTTGCAGCTGTCTTATCGCCTCCATGACGGCCCTCATAAGGTGAGGCATGTGAATCATACAACACTAATTCCACCTCCTTTTCTGGAATGCACCTCTTTATCAATTGATTAGCACACTGTTTGTACAAGAATGGCTCATCCCAGTAGTAGAAATTTACATCATGTAGAAACCTCTTTCTAGCTTTAGATTCAATTTCAGGCGGAAGTACCCTACTCACAAGATAATTCACTTAGTCCATGTACCATGAGGGAGGGGCTTGGGTGATAGCAAAAAGTTGCTCATTAGGAAATGCCTCCTTAATTTGTCCACCTTCCTCCATGTGCCCATGATTTTCCAGCCTTTATAGATGGTCGACTACTTGGTTTTTTGTGCCCTTCCGATCTCGTATTTCTACATCAAATTCCTGCAACAACAGAACCCAACACATCAATCTAGCCTTTGAATTCATTTTTGTAAATAGATACCTGGTTGTTGCGTGATCGGTATGGACTATGACTTCTATTCCCAACAAGTATGCCCGAAATTTCTCAAAAGCCCACATAACGGCCAATAACTCCTCCTCAATAGTGGTATAATTCAGTTGTGCATCATCAAGAGTCTTACTCGCATAGTAAATGAAGTAAACATCTTGTCCTTCCTTTGGCATAGCACTGCCCTAATAGCATCGTCACTTACATCGCACATAAGTTCAAACGGTAAGGACCAATTCAGTGTCACAATTATGGGGGCAGCTACCAACTTATTTTTGAGCTCCTCGAATGCCTTTAGACAGGCTTCATCAAAATTGAAGGTTACATCTTTTACAAGAAACCTGCATAAAGGAGTAGCAATTTTTGAAAAATCTTTAATAAAGTGTCTATAGAAACCTGCATGTCCCAATAAAATCCAGACATCCTTATCACCTTATCAACTACAATGCTACTCCTTGACACTTTATGGCCCAACATGATGCCTTCTTGTACCACAAAATGGCATTATCCCAATTTAAAACCAAATTTATTTCTTCACAACGGGCTAGCACCTTGCTCAAATTCTTCAAACAATCATCATAGGAAGATCCAAAGACTGAAAAATCATCCATGAAGACTTCCACAAATTTTTCCACCATATCAGTGAAAACAGCCAACATGTACCTCTAGAAAATGGTTGATGCATTAGAAAGACCAAACGGAATTCGCTTGAAAGCTAAAGTATCATAAGACAAGTAAAAATGGTATTCTCCTAATCCTCTAGGCATATGACAATCTGGATGTACCCCGAATAACCATCTAGGAAGCAATAATATTTATGCCGAGCCAATCTATCCAAAATTTGTCAATGAATGGAAGTGGGAAGTGGTCCTTGTGATTTGCTTTGTTGAGCCTTCTTTAGTCAATACAAACACTCCACCCAGTTATGGTGCGAGTAGGAATAATCTCATTTTTCTCATTCTCTACAATAGTCATCGCCTATTTTTAGGCACACATTGCACTGGGCTTACCCAGTTATTGTCAGAAATAGGAAAGATGATACCTACATCGAGCAACTTAATTACTTCCATCTTCACGACCTCTTTTATAATGGGATTTAATCTCCTTTGTTGCTCAAAACTAGGGTGGTGTCCATCTTCCAAACAAAACTTATGCATGCAAAATGATGGACTGATTCCTTTAATGTCAACAATTGTCCACCCAATAGCCTTTTTATGCTCACGAAGGACTCTGAGCAATTTTTCTTCTTGCACATCGGACAAGCTTGATGAGATAATCATTGGCTATGTCTTAGAGTTTCCCAAATAAGCATTGCGATGATGCGCTAGAAGAGGCTTAAGCTCTAGCCTTGGTGCTTCTTCAATAGGTGGCTTAGAAGGGGTCAGAATAACAAGTCTGTCAAACTCCTCAAATTTCCCAAACCCATGGACATAATTGCAAGACATGTTAATACTAATTAAATTTCTTCTATTATATCATCTTCACTGTCTTCTTTATCCCCAATCAAGGCTTGTTCAAGAGGATCTATAGGGCTCATATAAGGCTCCAGTGACGTCACATAACTTTCCACCACAGAAATCATAGATAGCACTTCATTATAACCAGAGTGCTTTATAAATGTTAGATACCTCCACTCGATCACCCACTCACATTGACATCTTTCCTTCACATACATCAATGGTAGCTCTGACTGTGGCTAAGAATGGACACCCCAAAATAAATGAGACTTTTTATCCTTCAGCATGAGCAAGGGAGCGATCAGCCAATTGCAAAATCATTGTGGTTGGGTGCGGCTCACCCAACCCCAACTATCTGAACACTTATAGCGACATCAAATTGATACTCGCACCAATATCACACAAAGATCACCCGACTGTGTGCTTACCAATCGAGATTTGGATAGTTAAACTACCTGGATCCTTCAATTTCTAAGGTAGCTAGCTTTGAATTCTTGAGCTACATTCTTTAGTGAGTGCCATAGTCTCGAACTCTATCAACCTCCTCTTATTTGCCACTATGTTTGATGTTTTCGGCATATTTGGGAACTTCTTGTAGTATGTCTACCAGTGGAATATTGCTTTACATCTGCTTCAAAATATTAAGAAACTTTTTATAGGCTGCATTATCCTTCACTTTCTGCAATCTCTGAGGGAACAGAGGGGGTGGCCTCACAACTAATGGTGGGGGTTTCTTAGCCACCACCTTTTCAGCTGGCTTCTTTAACTCCTTTACTTTTTCTGATTCTGCTTCTATGGTGGCCGGTTTCTTATAAAAGATCACTTGCTTCCTCATTTTTGATGGGACTTCGTCTAACTGTCTCTCATTCCTCAATAACACAGCATTAATAGATGCCTTAGGCTTAGCTTTGGTGTCGCTTGGAAAAGGTCCAACTGGTCGAGTATTTTGGGCACTGGCAATTTACCCCACTTTTCTCTCCAAATTTCAAATCGTTGTAGTGTGGGTCACTGCCTGAGCCTGCTAGTCATCCATCAATTTCTTTAGCATCTCCTCAAGGTGACTTATCGGGTTGGTAGGTTGTTTAGCCTGAAGTGGTCTATATTGCTATTGAGGAACTTGTGGCATGTACTGATTCTGAGCACCTTGATTTCCACCCCAATAGAAGTTTAGGTGGTTCCTCCAGTTAGGATTGTAAGTGTTCCCATACCGATTTGTCTGGCCCTTATTTGCATTACCCATAAAACAGACAGACTCTAGATTAATTGGGCATAAGTCGCTCGTGTGACTCTCTCCACATACTTCACAAAATATTTGAACATGTTGCACTAGCTAGGCTTATTGCTTGTTAATAACCAAGGCCATTGTTGTCCAATGTAGAAAGATGCACTGATAATGCAGAGATGACATCTAACTCGAGGACACCTGTAGATTTTTACATAGTGTGTCTTCCTATCTCTCCTTGCTAAGCAAGATTGCTTTTGGAAAATTTATTCAATAATGCATATATCTCATCGAAGATTTTCTCCAACACTATGTGACTAAATATATTCCTACCCTAACCACAACTCTGGAATATTTGTCTCTACTGAATACACAACAACCAATTTGTTGCTTGATAAATTAATTACTCTGAGGGGGGTGCAGATTTGTGGTTAGGGTAGGAATATACCTAGTCACTGTGCTTAATTAAATATCGTACTCTTAATGCATTCTTAACCACGGTGACTAGGTATATTCCTACCCTAACAACAAATGTACACCCCCTCCCCCCATAGTTAAGATCATGCTCTCTTCAATTCATCTCCAATTTAAACGTAGCTTTCCCAAGCATAGCATAGATAGTAAATAGAACCTAACTGTCGGCCAAAAAATTAATCAATTAATCACAAAATTAAAGAAACAATCATATATTAGTGAATTATAATCAAGGTTACGTCAACTTTATACAACAATATCCATGGCTAAATCACAATCCTAGAACTATGGGTTTTAGCCACTCATGATAATATCAAAAAAGATTCACAAGTGTTGAATAATTGAGAATACTAAGAAAAGATGAAGAAAATTGAGATATCCTTGCTCCCAGATGTTCCTCGTGTTTATTGTTCCTTCTAAGTGGCGTCTCCCTCCTCAAAATAGGCTTAGTCTTGCTTTTATACGTGTTAGGTAGGTCTTAGGTCGAAATAACCTTGCCCCGGGCAAAGTAGGAAAGATTTCCCGTTACAAGCGCCTAGGGTAGAGTGGGGCGCTCTAGTGCTGGCTAATGTTAGATTCTTCAAAGTACGCCGCAGGTAGTGCCCCACACTGGCTACGGCGCTATAAACGGCAATTTTTTGATTTTCTCCATTTTGACTCCAATCTCGATCTGTTCGCCCCATATTACCTATGGATGATTCCTACACATATAAACACCCCAAATTAGCATAAATTATTACATTTCATATCTAATATCAATGAAACATGAGTAAAATACAAGGCGGTATACATATTAATATATATACTTTAAGTTAAATATCACCCTTTTTACTCCAGCGGCTGAATATGTGGTTGTTGCTTCCTGTTGTGCCCAACTGCTATGGATCAAGCAACAACTAGAATATTTTGCTGTGTTTTCAGATTGTGTGTCATTGTTGTGAAATAATACAAGTGCTCTCAACCCGGTTCAACATAAGAGACAAAGCACATTGATGTGCGACATCATTTCTTAAGGGACAATGTTGAAAAATGACTTATTTGTATGAAGTTATAGTAAACAGAGGATCAGGTAGTAGACATCTTCACCAAAGCACTGAGCAGAGAACATTTTGACATAAATCATCTAGATTTGGGGTTGATCAAGCTGAATTGAGAACTTATTCCCTGGATGATTATCTATGAAAGGATAGTAAGGTAAAATGCAAAAAAATATTTTCTGGCAACTTCTAACTTAATTCTATACAATTACAGGTAGACACGCAAGGCAAATTTAGGAGAAACGAGTTGCAAATATTTGGAAGTTGATGCTCATATTTTCAAAAAGTTCATCAAGGAACTTGGTTCCTATGACTCAGGTTAGTAGTCCTTCTTACACTAATATGCATTTTAAACTGCTAGAAGTTCCACTTCATTAATTGTTCCTGCCTCCTCTAATGCCCTTTTATCCCAAACGTTACATTAGTTATAAAATGACCCAACAACCCGTCCCTTCTCTCTCACACCCATTTGTAATCGGTCCTCCTCTTACTTTATATACCCAAAAGTCAGTCTCTCTCTCCAATTCCAACATTGAACATAAGTTTTTCTCCCAAACCCTCTTCTTCTTGTCTTCTTGTTCTCAAAATCAACAATGACTCAATCTTAACTTTTCATCTCCTAAATCAACTAAAGGAAACCTTGCCTTGTCCCCGTCTAACAAGGCACCTCCATCTGGATCTGGGTTAGATTCTTTACCCACAAAAAGCCCAATTTCCAACCTACCCAAACCCATAGTCCTATCTCCCACACAATCTGGTTCTGGTTCTGTTTCCCATCATAGTCGCAAGATCCAAACTCCCACAAAGTTCGTTGATTCTCTATCTCCTTCTGCTACTACAGAGAAAGTCGACTCATAATGAACTACCTCTTCTTCTTTCTTTCTTCAAACCAAAGAAGAAATTGTGGAAGGGGACAAAGGGGTTAAAGTGTCAACTCAGCGTATTGAGGAAGGAAGTATGGTTGATAAATCAAGTTTTTGTGTTGTTGTGGGGTCACATACATCTGAAAATTCTAGGGTTCGAAATGTTGAAGGGGTTATTTATCAATCAGGTAATATTCCATCTCATCCTATTGTTACAAATATATTGGGTGCGAAGGGTGAGAAACTGTGAATGATACACTCAAAGAAGGCTCTACTTCTCTTGAGAAAAAGCATGTTGGTGTGGAAAACTTGATTGAGGAGTCTATGTCTACAGTGTGTGGTTCTGGGACTCTAGGGTACCCACTGAGTCAAAGGGATGAACGGGGTGATCGGGAACAAGTGCACCAAGGGGTCTGAGTATGTCTTAGTACTATAGGGGAACCTATAGAGGGACCTAGTCTCTCTACCCAAGGGAAAATCTCTGCTCCTATTTGGGATGAAACTACTAGTTCTACAAGATAGCCCCTGGATAGTGCTGACGCTAACCCCATTTGATCACCCTATTAATGTTCCATTGGAGATTGTCTACCCAAAAATAAGTATGTATCTGAAGGTGATTCTGGTAATAGTAAAGATGAAATTGATAACCTTCTTATCATATAGTTCCTTACTGCTAGGGGTGGGGGGAAAGCCATAAAGTATTCGGTTTCCAAGCACCGCACCACTAGGAAGCAGAAAATGGCTACTCTTCATAGTGCCTTGAAAGTAAATAAAGAAAAGAAGAAGAGAATGAGGTTTGTGTGAAAATTCAGTTGATTAATGAGGAGGATGTGCCTCCTACTAATGTAGTGGAGGTGTATGATGAGGAGCATGTTAAGAAACATGCTCCTCTTGTCAGGAAAAACTCAAAGAAAACCATTGTTGCCAAGTAGAACAAGACAATATCTAAGAATGTACTTGTGAGTGACAAGGATAATAAAGTTGAGGAGGAAAGATAAATGGAGAAAGAGAAAGCAGAGAAGAAGAAGTCCCTCAGAAAGAGGCAGAGTACTAGTGACGAACCTGGTTCCTCCAAAAGTTTAAGGGTAGAATTATCTGAGTTATAGAGGAGGGCAAATCTAAAAAAGTAGAAGGTTCTATGGGGTCGAGTCTTTGATCCTGGGATCCTTGACTAACCAGGCATGAGACAGCTGGTTGAAAAGGTGGAATTCCAGGAGTGGTCTCATA